ATATCAGAAACCTGTCTGAAACTCTTAGTCCAATATTATATTCTAAAATGATATTTTAATTCTTGCATAATATCAATACTATATATGTTACTGAAATTCATAGATCTTTGACGCAATTGATGCAATTATTTGACACAATTAATTGAGTCACTATTAAAATATATAAATAATTAAATTATAGCACAATTATTTTTGAGGATTTTGGGAATTGAGTTAACAGCAAAATAATTTATGCCACATATATAATCAATACAATAGTCAAAATATATAAAAGATATCTCTCTATAAATAGAAGAATATCATTTAAAGGAAAATATTTTACTATAGATTTTGATAACAATTTTTTCAGATATTCAGACTATCCAATTGATATATCTTCTTATAACTTCTGCTAAATATTATTTATAAATATATTTGTTTCAATACTATAAATTTTCTTTAATTTCTCTAACAGATTCAAATATCATTTACTTAATATAATTGATGATGCTATTAACTTATCACAAAACAATAAACATATTTCTCAAAAAATTAACATTTTTGCCAAATTTTCTTCTTAAATACTATTATAAGATATTGATTTGTAACAATATTATTATATTTAATCTCACAAAAACAACATATTTATAAATAATATCAAAGTAAAGCCATTTAATTTCTGTCTTCAACCAGATAGTACTCTATTAGCAATTCTTGATATTGTTTAATAGATTTTATTTTATTTCACTATTAAAATTAAAAACAACAAAAAAATTCTCTAATTAATACTTAAGTATTTAAAAAAAATAGTTAAAATTAATTTTTTTTCATTAATTCAAAGAATAAATCAATAAATATAACAAAAGTCTATAAAGATTATATATATCAAATCCAAATTCAGATTAGTATTAATTAAAATTATTTAATAAAACAACTCTTTACTACATTTTTCTGAAAATCTTTTAATCAATAACATCTGCCTAGATAACAAAATTAGATAGTACAAAAAAATCTTTAGTATTATTAGAAATTATAATCTGTGAAAGCTCTTTTATCACTTGAACTTTTGAACAAATATATACTTTGTATAGCTTAAAAATCATTAATCAATTTAACAAAAATATCAAAAAACTTCACAATAACAAATATAGTATCTTAATTATATTTATAATTAAACTGTTTTTAAGAACTTTTCCTACTTACAACTTACACTTTATTAACTTTATTCTAGTCAATATTCAAAAATCATTTATTCAAGATATAAGTTTTTTATTGAAAATATTCAATATATCTTCAAATATACTAAGGCCTTACAAGCAGTTGATCAAATTATCAAAACTGTTAATCAAATTTTTCATTCAAATAACAATTATAAACCAATCTCACATATATGGCAAGTAGTTAAGTTGTTATATAATATAACAAACAAAATCTTTTCTATTTTAACTCTTGTTAACTAAATTAAGGCAGCAATAAAATTCTTAATTTAATTATATAATCTGATCTGAAAACAATGCTACTTTATAGCAACCACTTTATACTTTATCTAAATTAAATAAAACTATATTAAACCTCTCAATTTATCCAATTTTCTCAAATCAAAAAACAAAAATATCTCATAAGTTGAAGACATATTTGATACTAACTTATAAAAAGATAAAAACTTTTTTTGTTAATTCTTTTGTCAACCCAAAAAACAAATATTCTCAAAAGACTTTTTGCTTTTATAATAATAAAGTCTATATACTTTTTTTAATAATACTGATTCCTTAACCAGCAGAGCAAGCAGAAGCTACAACTTGTTTTATTTTTTCTTTTCAAAACACTTTTCTTGTTTATTTTGATGACTAAATATAAGAAACCTACCTAAAAGGTCTATGGCAAGAACATCTTTTTAGAAAAAAAACTGACAAGAAAAATATACTCCAAAGATTCCCAAAAGATTCAAAAATCCAGAGAAACAAGAACAAAGAAGTCTTCAGTTTTTTTATTATCTCTTTGGCTTCCCTCTTCTTCTTTCTCAAGCGTACTTTCTTTTTTCTGATTTTTTTGGAAAATTTTGCCTACCTCAGTTTGACCCTGAATTTTTGGCTACACCAGATTTTCTGAAAGATGATTGGTCAAAGCCGCAGATTGGTTGATCATATCAGTCTCAGAAAAGTAAACAAAATACATACTCTTTACATGTTTCCAGTTGTGCAATATCAAACCAATGATGTGATTGGTTTTTGAAAGAGTTGGATAGTTTTTGGTTAAAGGAGTAGTATAGGAGTATTAGGTGAAGTAAAAGTTGTAAATAGAAGAGGAGCAACTTCTTTTTGTTTTCATTCTTTTATTTCCTTTTATTTTTCCTATTCTTTCTTGAGAACAGAGAGTAGCAACAAGATCTAGGTCCTATTTCAATCTGGTAACAAGTTGAAGTACCTATATTTATTCTAAAAATGGTTGGAGAAAAGAATTTTAAAACTATTTATCAGTTGAGTGAAGCAATAATTCTAGAAGATATGGCTTGAAAAAAAATTAACAATAGAAAACCAATATCCTTTCTGGTTAGAAGTCTTCAAGTATAAAGTTTCAAGAAATACTCTTTTGAAAGTACCCTTAAATGTTCTTGGATATTGACTACTCCAATGAAAATTAAATAGTTTGACTTACCACAGATGGTGAAAAGTGAAAAACCATAAGGGGTTTGGATTTTAAGTTTACTAGGATAACTTTTTCAATAATAGTTAGAATTATACATGTTGCTGAAATTCATAGATTTTTGATGCAATTAATGTAATTATTTGATGCAATTAATTGAGTCACTATTAAAACATATAAATAATTAAGTCATAATGCAATTATTTTTGAGGATTTTAGAAATTGAATTAACAGCAAAATAATTTACGCCACATGTATAGTTAGAATTATATATGTTTCCAAATTACTATAAAAGAAAATTTAATTGACAATACGATTTCAAATTAAATATGATTTCCAATTACTTACTAATTATTACTTAGTAATATAAACATAATACGGTTTTTGAAAAATGTCTGAATTAAATACAAATACATGTATAGTTAGAATACATGATAGCTTTTTTCTTTTCTTTTTTGTTAAAAAATCTCTTTTTTTATTCTTTTTTTTCCTTGCATAGTTTCTACAAGAGGGAAGTAACACAATTTGAATTTATGATCATGATTGTGAAAATAATCTGCAGGTTTTGATCTTATCAGAAGCTCAGGATCTTAATCCTATCCTTTAGGGGAACAATATATCACCTCCATAAATCACATCTAGAGGTTTCAGCTGTCGATGGGTGAATTGGGTCAAGGAAATTTGTACTTTGTATGTATTCTCATATGTGTAATAGTTCTTTATAATTTAATAAATAAATGATACCAACCTGATTGTGAAATTAAAAAAAAAATAATAATAAATAAATAAATAAATAAATAGTATTTCATGTCATATTTGATTTTATTAAATATAAATCAACTTTTAATTTATATTAATTAATAAATTTGGTTCATAAATCTGTTATAATATAATATAATTCAACAATTAATTTATATTAATTAATAAATTTGGTTCATAAATCTGTTATAATATAATATAATTCAACAATTAATTTTCAACTTTATTTATATTGTAGACAAAATATTCTTAGATTTATTATAAAATTAAAAAAACCCTTTAGTTAAAAATTAACTTTTTCAATCATATGCATTAATTTTAATAAATTCAATTTTAGTTAACAATATAATACTTTCATTAATGTTTGTATTTTTAATTTTCTAAGTTAAATACGTACATGTATATACTGTATATTAAAAAAATAACGATACAACTAAAATTATTATTTTATTATGATGTCATGGGACTGATAATCGCATTACGCGTACAAATATAAATTGAAAAAAAAGTCTATCCATGATGTTCAAAATAGATAAATATTTCTCGCGAAGATATGGATTAGACTCATTCGAAAAGAAAATAAACATTTACATTAAAGTCTTAATAAGATTAATGCAGAAAAAGGTTTTCGACAAAAAAAAGCGCGTCAACTTCTTGACAAATATCAGAAGGCATGTATAAATTTTCAAACGCTTTAAGTTTAAATGAATAGCAGTGTGAATAATATAGACCTTCTTGGTCTTTCGTCATTTAAGGCATTTTTCTAAGTTATAAAATTGATTTTAAAAAAGTTATGAAAAAATTATTAATTCTCAAAAGATTCTATTTTAGAATCCTAAGTTAGATTTTAAAATCGCAAAATCTTGGGAGAAGAAAAGAAGTTAAGGCCGCAAGCAAACAAGAAAAGAAAAAGGTTGAAGCTACAAGCAAACAAGAAAAGAAAAGGGTCGAAGCTACAAACAAACAAGAAAAGATAGTTCTTAAAACACTGAGGAAAACAAATAGAATAAATTATGCAGAAAATCGAAGAGTAGATATAAAATATTAATATTTCTAAAGTATATAAATACTAATGCTATTGGTTAATATTTTCTGGTAATTTTTTATAACTAGGTTAGTAATGATGATAACGATAACGATATTGATGAAGGTGACAGTGACAATGATATTGATGAAGAACATGATTATATTGATGAAGATGATATAATGAGATCGATGAAGATTACTATGAAGATTATGAGATCGATGAAGATTACTACGAAGATAATGAAATCGATAATGATGATGAGGATGATGAAGATAGCTGTGAAGATTATGAGATTGTCGAAGATGACTACAAAACTTATGATAGTTACAAAATGACTGAAAAAGGGAAAAAATTAAAAAAAAAAAGTAGCTAAAGACTTATTAAAAATTATATTTGAAGCAATAAATACAGATGACAAGTGGAAGCTTCCTTTAGGAAAATTTGTTGAAGACATTTTATGATTGGGCGATAACTAAGAGTTCCGAAACGTAAGTATATTATATTATTATATTATTGATATTTTTATTAAATATATTTATAATAAATTAATAATTATTTTGTTTAAAGTCTTGCACACTCTTTTATACTTGACATGGATTGTCAAGAGATTATGGATTTATTTAGTTCAGAGGAAAGAGAAATAATTGCGAATATAAATAAAAAACCTTTTTTAGGCACTCAAGATAATATTAGAAAATATGTTATGGAATATCATAAGGTATTTATTAGATAAGATTCTTAAATTGAATACGTATATTTATATATAATTTTTTATTTTTACAGGAAAATGTTAGCGATCTTCGTAAGGTTGTCATGACACCATATTTGAAAGATGGAGAAGCATACAATCTAAAAGTACACTATGACTTTGAATGGATATATTTACTATTTAACAAATTGTAAGTCATTTCTTTTATATAATATTGTAATTTTGATTAATGTTTTTTCTTTACCGATATAGTGTTATTGAAATATTCCATTAAAATCTTCCGAAAGAAACGCTAGCAAACCATCTGAAGAAAACAGATTTTCCGTATCGTTTCATGAATTAGAATATCGAATTTTTCCTGAATATAAAAGTCCTCTATAAGAATCGCAGATCAATACTTAAATAAAAAAACGTAAACTTTACCAATCACTCCTTGTCTATCCATCCTCCAACCAATGCCACTCGTTCTTGGTGCGACATTTTGTAAAATTGTGATAATGGTAGCGGTCAAAATAATTTGAGCCGTAAATGGATTGATTAGTGGAGAAAGGCATGGCAAAAGTCTTTCATGCTTCATGTTGTTACGATGAAAAATATTCATTGCAAGTAAAATGATGAGGTATTATTTTAATGGAAAAAAGAAGAAAAAGGAATTATCAAACTTTCTTCCATAGTCGTCCAATCCCTGCTTTCCCATTGCTGTTTACTTGACCACCCCTTTCTCCCACTTTCTTCGTCACATTTTGCCGCACAAAATTCACCCACCATTCTCACGAGCTTTGCCGAAATTTCTTCACACGGGGAAAAAGTTCTCAACACAGGTAAGGTAAAAAAATAGTGAAGTGAGACCGATTCTGTATCGTTACTATATGGTCAGTGATTCCATGTATAAATTTCCAGTATCAAATAAAGATTGGGATATTTTTGATGAAAGCGCACCAAAGTATAAGCAATCTTCGGGACGAAATGCTCTTGCGAAATTAAATTAAGAGGGTAAAAGATAATACCGGTACAGCGTTTTCATCTAATATTCTGTCACACTCTATGTGGGATTCGATATCAAGTAATAAAGGCTAAGATACTTTTGATTAAGTGCCTTCAATTGTAATCATTAAAAAGAATCATACAAATCAAACTCTTATGCACATACTCGAAGTCCCTTTCCACAAATTCCAATTTGCGGTTAGCCAATATTCGAAACGAAATAATATACTTGTGTACATTCATGGGCATCGGTAGCTTATCGATAATATCCTTTGTCATGGAACCTGAAAACAATGAATATAACATTATTATAATGTAGAGAGACCTTCGTGAAAAACATTAGATACTTACATATCCGATTGATTTTCTGAAAATCAGATAAATTTTAGTGACCGCTGCTGTCATTTATTTTAAACTGGGGCCCAATTGAAGGAGCCAGCTGCTGACTATATCGATCATCTGGAGTCACATTTTCATTAGTATAAAGACAAGGAGTATTACTATGCTGGGAACTTTAGATTGTTTTCTATAATTAAAGATTCATGTAAATATTATATAAATTCCATCCCATCATATCAAACTTATATAAAGGTACAGTAGTGGCAGAAAAAACTGGCAGTAATAGTGATATATTTAAAATGCTAGTTGTGTTATTACTTAATTAAATAACATGAATTAATTTTATTTACTTTTTTTCTTTGTTACATGGATTATCATGTATAAAAATCATGATTATGACAGCCACTTATTAATTTGTACAATAACATCATGCCACATAAATTTTGCCTTAAAGAACATTGCTCGTTAGTTAAGTCATTATGGAAAGAAAAAATACGAAATGCTAAAGAATTACATCAAATTACCAGGTTTTCCATATGAACATTGTTTAGATGGGTCTCTCAGCTAAATAAAACAAAAGATTTACAACAAAAAAATCATCCAGACCACCCTAAAATCCTTAGCCTGAACCAATGACATCATCTCAGTCAGCTCGCTTATTTATGTGCTAATGCGACAAGTCTAGAAATAACAGACACACTTAATAATACCTATCCAAATCTTAACATAGTTAGTCGTATAGTTCAAGAAAACCTCAGGAAGCTTGATTACCATGTATGTACTCCTGAACTACTTTATTCCTCACTGCCATTGCTAAAAAACAAAGGGTTTCATGGGTAAAATGTCATAAATGGGAAAAATGGGAAAATATGATTTTTCTAATGAAATGTTTCAAAACACCATCCTAGTCCATTATAAAACTGGAAAAGAAAAACCAACATGTGAAATTGTCAAGCATTCATTTAAAGTCCATATGTGGGGGCCTTCTGTATACACGGAACTGTCAGATTTCATTATTTACAAAAAATATGAATAGTAAGCTGAATTGCAAAATTCTAACAAATAATCTTTTTAATCAAGCTCAACAGATTTTTTGGGGTCGTAGAAATTTCAGCAGGACAATAACCCCAAACACACAGCAAAGCTTACAGTCTCCCTTCTCGAAGATCAATATTCCAAAGTTCTTGATTGGCCGTTATATTTCCTGGATTTGAATTTTATAGAAAATATATGGGCAATTCTAAAAAAACAGGTAGAAAAGAGAATAAATAAAAGAATTAGTGAAAAAAAAAAGGTTTTTCAAGAAATTTTTATAGAAATTATTAAGAATGAATGGGATAATATAGATCAAAAACTTTGCTTTAATTTAATAAAGAGTATAAAAAAGCAGATAGAATTAGTAATTCAAAAAAATGGTGATGTTATTAAATATTAATAGTTTATATTATGAATGATGTAATATTAAATTACTTATATTTCAAATTTGAAGTAATTCTAATAAAAATTGATTAAATAAATAAAATTTTATTTATTGCCATTTTTTCCGCCACTACTGTAATTTACCATCATTGTTTATAATTGAAAATTTCAATTTGCTGGGCTCGATTTCTTGGCGTTTGCCGGAAATCTTTCCTCTCAATATCAAGAAATCCTCAACAGATCTTGAAGCAGAAAATGAATCTGTGAAATGCGCAGGATTAAAAATGTTCTAATCATCCGAAAGGACATCTGCTTCATTATTTCTCGAGGTAACCTCAGCCGAAAAATCTGGGTTTTTAAATTATTATAAAAGCCAGTTGAATGATCAAAACTAATCAAATTGACTAAAGAACTATTCGCAGACGGATATTTACTATCCCTTATGTTACGTACGAGTTTTTGGATGGTGGAAGAATTCTGAGGAACTTTGAGGTATGGTGACGAATAGTTTTCTAGTATATTGCCTTTTATGGAAAAAGAGTATATGTGTCCTGACGCGAAGACGATGAATTTCGAGAATCATTAAAACCGAAATAATCCTAGACAAAAAATAAGTTGTTCACCCTAAAAAATGCATAAATCCTCTACCACTGGAGTCCCCTCGGGTTACTGAACGTTCCTTAGTCCATTTAAAAATTGTAATCCGTTGATATACCGAGCAGTATTATCAAGCATTTTCTTACTGGTAGAAGAATCATCATTCCCTGATACCTCATAACAGGTTAAATCGACGATTTCATGCGAATCTTTTAAATATTTATCTATAGGCGCCCATTCTTTACTCAAATTATTATCTTTTCCATAATTAGAAAGCCATGTCGTGATTCTTTCTTCATTGCTCATCGTAGGTGTATGCCTTACTATGGACATGCGGTT